CTTCCGCCAAAAGATGTAGTGGCATTTTAATGCAATACGACTTATGCAACACATTGGGGAACCGGTATGGAAGGCTTTCACACCCAGAGAATTAGTCAAGCTGGAACTAAATTGCAGTGGTAGCTGATCGCGAGGACCCACCAAAGCTCACCGCTAAAAGGAAGCGATTTGCGCGGGAGGGTTCCAATAAAATAGTTTTGGACGCTGAGCAGGGTAGCAGCGGTTCCAGTTTCAAAGCTTCAGTTTCAGCGTTGCAGTGTGTACCAGCTCCAACATCCCTTATGGATCATCACTGGTTGATTGGATGAGTTGCAGTGACCCGTAAGAAGGAGGTCCTCGGCACGATACACCTGACCTAGAGATAGCCTTAGTGTCACAGTGAACAGCACAAAAGGCTTGTTTGTTGATAGCCTGAGCCTGAGCGGCTTATCATTGGTGGAAACAGGCTCATGGATCAGTGGGATGTATGAGCCTCACTTGCTAAAGGTAGTAGCCCTTGCGCTCACGCCAAGGTGCTGTTCGCGCCGTGTATCCTGCTGTGGGTTCGTGCTCTGTGGTCACTCTCGGGTTCGCCAACGACTCGCCTCCGTATCTTCGTTTTACTAGCGGTCTTTCCATCACTACTGTTCGCTGATTTTGATTTTCAAACTAACTTTCTTTCCTGCATGGCTCTCGCGTACGGTTGCTAAAGGTCGCACCTTCGCGGCGCACCAAACGTATTCGCTCTATCTGAACTTACACTTTCTCAGTCTTCAATTCCTTACGGCTCGCACCGAATGTAATCCCAGTTAAAGCTGCCAAAGTGCCGCAATGATTTGAAATCTCTGACTTCTTGTACACGAAATGCAGTGCACTTCCGGGTACATACACTGCACACGGCGCCTCGCTTTCGAGACACAACTAAAGATGCACTCATTTCCTTTGTGGACGGCTTCGCGGTTCCAGTGGCGCAGAAAGATACGCTAGCGCTGAACTAGAGGCCAGAGGCTCTAACTTGTGCTTCAGCAACCTAAGTCTGTTTTGCGGCGCAGCTTTTTCACTTTCAGGGCTGGTTTTGAATACACAAGATTGAGTAAAAAGATGCAGGTTCCCATATTGTTTTTCATGCTTCAAAAAGGTTGTGTATCGTTATCTTCAGTCGAGACAATTCTTGCTAGTGATTTATTGTGTTTTATTTGTTGAGAAACCCCATTCATCACTCTCTGTTTTTCTTTTTGTTTCATTGGGATACTTATGTATTTCCTCCACTTATAAAACCATGACATGTGCTTGCGCATGTAATAAATAAAAAAAATACGCATCGATGCGCGATCGATCATGCTCCTCCAGACTAGGACTGCGAATGAAGTACAATGCAGTCGCAAAGTATGACCGCTTCCTGAGCAGAACTTTGGCAAAACTCGATAATAACTCAAGAGCTTGACAGAAAGTAAGCACGTGCTGTAAATATTAGCATTCCTGAACTCCGTTCCTCTTTACAGCTTTCATTCATCAGCTAATTTCCTCTCGAAAACTGAGTCAAAATCCGCTCCTCACTATTTAGCTCTCAGCAAATGGTGATTCAACGCAACATGTTAATCCCCTGTAAAAAAGGTATAGAAACATATGCGTGGTCGTGCTTGGAGTGCAGAAACACATAATGATTCACCGCGCTGTTTCCATCAGATGCTTACGATGACCTTTGCACCTTTTACGCCATCTCAAAGTGAGGTGAATTACAAATAATTTACAGATGTTCGTGGAGAAAGTCCCTTCACGCAACAACCGTGCGAGCTTCGGCGTCATTCGCAGCAAAACGACACGGTCCTCACTTAACATCAAATCTCGGCTAGTTGAAATAGAAACCGGAAATCGTTTTTAAGTCATACAATGTTTATACGATGACTAATGTGAACTCACTCCACCCTCCTGTACTAGTTCGCCGACTTCTTTCTCATGTGGTTCATAAAGGTCGCATAATGGGAGACTATGCCTAGTACAAAATACTATTACTCCAGTGCCCGCTATCCAGGGAACTTATCACGAAGAGAAACATGGGGGGGATTGCCTTAAGTTATACGATCGCACATGCTCTTGGAAAAAAAAGTTCCAACTGTGAAGGCAGTGATGTGTGCGCGGCCTTGGAAAATGTGAGAAAACTTGCAAATCAGCTCAAAACTGGCAACCCTGGCATGCATAATCAACATAAGCGACCAAAACCCGAAAATTTGTTTAACAATTCAAGCAAACCATCGAAAAGATTTAAGAAATAGAAGACCTTGGCGCACCTTCAATGATGTGTATCGTTCCAGTTTCATTTCTGGTACTAATCGCCATTTTATTAGCGAGAGATTCAGCTCTACAGACTGTTCATCAACCGGAAAACAACAAAATACAATATTAAGCGAGGAAACGAAAATGCAATTAGCTACTCACTTCTTAGGGTCGAACTGTTTCCGCATGTCAACAAACTGTGGAACCATCTTCCCTTGCATGTTCCTCTCCCAGCCAACACTTGCAGGCAACTGGTTCGGCTGAAAATATTACGTCACATATATTACATCTGGAAAGGGAGGAAGGGGAGATTATAGCGTCATAATTTCATCCTATCACATTATTGTGAATGAATAACAGTGAAGGGTAAGATGTCCAGTAATGATCCACATTTTCTAAGGTGCGCCACGCACTCGTCTTAAACTCGGGATTCATGGCAGCATTCGAATGCAATTTGGTCTGAAGGATGACTTGTGGGAGTCAACCAATAAACAAGGCAGCGTTTTTACATGCGTCCATTCATCCAAGGAGTGCATCAGCGATTAGACCACGAATGGTGGGAGCTTGGTTGGCCTGGAATTGATCGATCCCATTTAGTCCATAAAAAGAGGCGATAAGCAACGCCACTACGCAGCCTCCGCTCCAGCTTGCCGAACAGAAACTTCACAAGGAGAACATGAATCACACGATTAGAAATCCTATCGAAATATCAATTTTCATCGACCAGCTAATATGCTGATATTTTAGAGCTACATCATCGCTTTTATGATCCTACTTACCACACAAGGGCGTAATCCAGAATGCATTGGGGTAACACCTCTTACCACGACAAGGGTAAATAGGATAAGGGGTGAATAGAACTTGGGACCATGTCATGTCTAACATACAACAAAATTCGCTTGCATTTCGAACCTATATTAATTTCACCAATGACGCTCCCATTTCTTCGTTCTAATAGCAAGCAAGATCTCAGTTGGGATTTCGGGAATTCCCTCAGGCCTGACGTTTGATATCACAATCCCATAATACCCTTCTTTCTCAAATGAACTTACTGATCAACAGATTTAGTTTTGTAAAAAAAATTACCTCAGTCTCATCCCATGAAATTTTGAATTCCTTCAGATCACCTCCTCCTTTCAGCGAAACGAAAGAACACCACCGCCAAGATCGCTTCATATATGCGACCGCCGCTACTAAATTTCGTAGAGGCCATCCAGCACAATCGGCCACTGGTGATGGATCCGCAAAAACTATCTGGAACAGATACTATTTACATCGCTACCCCTATTGCACCAGGTTGAGCAATAAAAGGTGCCGCCACAGATGTTGCGTGGCATGACGTTACAGGCCTGAAGCCTCTAACAGCTTGGAAAATCGAGCACACACTCTGAATTCGTTCAGACTTCAAAGATCTTTCCATTTATCCAAACGACACCAGCCAATGGAAACCGGTGAAGTGGCTTCGGATGACCTCACCCGTAGAAATAAAGGCTTGGACGTCAAAGTTTACGGAAAAGGAAGAACGGGACGAGTTTATTCATTAGCTATGCATTCATCAATCATTTCTACTGGAAAGCTTCCGTAGTTTGGTCGCTGAAATTGCGTTTCCGGGTCAGAGTCAATGCTTCCCAATGGCCCAAGACCTAGGAGCACACCATACTACGTACAGTGTCACTTTTTAAGGTACTCCACTCGTCTAGACTTCAATTCAACCTTGAACGACAGGGTATAACAGTTTCGTAATTGTAGTCGTTGCCATGTAGCTTACACGAAATCAGGTGTACGCTAAAACTCTTGCCTCCATTCCGTCCAAGTCACATCACAACGAAGCGAAAGCGATCAGATGAATCCCGAACCAAAAGCTCTTTTATGTGATTAAGACAGATTTCCAACAACAGTGCCATGGCAACGAGAGCATACCTCAGCGGAAGCCCTATCTGTGACGCTAAACATCAGATTCAAAATAAACACAAGCTAAAGTTCTTTGTGCTACCTTACACTTTTCGGAAATCTAGCCTTGCCGAAGGCGAAAAAGTCCTGACCTAATGTGGCATTTATGTCTTCGTATTGTGGCTCTTCAACTGATCTATTAGGTTGAGTTACCGGTGAGAGCCCACCTCACAAGAAAATTTCAAAAGTTCACAATTTGTTTTGAATTATCTTGATCAAGTGCCATATTTACCACAGCTGTCCACAAGCGTATGCTATCTATCCGTATTTGGATTGGCACCTCTCTCACAGAGAGACGCACTTTTCGATGTCGAGAATCAGTCGACGCCTGTTTTGAGGTGCTCCGATCATCGTAGTTTTTCTAATGAGCAAGCAAGCGGAACAACAGGTGATTGATTGGGTGCTATACCACGGCGAGTTAGAAAGCGGAGGAATATCATGAGGCCAAGTTTCGGTTATAGTATTCTGGCATTCTTCCGTTAGATGTGGGTTGCGATGCTGCCGCACAAGCCTCAATTTTGCGATATCCGAAACAAGTCTGACCAGCAGTAAGCAGTAGGCGTCTACGCCTGCAGTGGTTGTATTGTATGAAGTCTGTAACGACGCAATCCTTAAATCGGAGAGCGGAACCTACTCCGGGCGTAGTTTTGGGCTCTTTGTCGCTGCTGACTGCACGTTCCCAATGATGCTTCCGTAGGTTGCTTGGCTAGACTGCGCACTCCTCAACCCCAGTGACCTCTTGGCAAGTCCACCGAAATAACGAATTTCAGACAGCAAACTTTAGAAGCTGACGCGTATCTTTCGAGCCCATCTCGCCCAACTCGTGAGGATTCCACCTTCATAGCGTGTACAATTTCTCTTGGCTCCAAAGGAACAACATATGATGCACTGGGAGGACTGAAGGTCTACAGCAGTTTGACCGGTACTGGTGCCGGACTGTCTTCAAGAAGCTCTCGCACGCGTTCAATATCTACGGTCACTGAGTGTCCAAAACGTGGTCGGCGTTCAGGGCCGTAGCCGCCCTAGCAAAGCTTCCTGAACCACTTTCACAGATATTCTCTTTTAGCGAGTCTGGTCCTCCAGATTCACAAATATTCCGACAGGCTCCTCTGCTGAGTGCCCCAGACGGAACTCGTAAAATAGACAGTGACGAACATGTGTTGAAATGGACGGCATTATTTCTCCCTAAAGACGAACTGACGGTCGAATTTCGTAATATGAAAGGACACTAAGGTCGCCACATACTATTCTTTGCGGGGAACAACACAAACATTTTTTGGGAAAGATGGCACGGGTATGAAGAAAACGGCACTAACTTATGACTTCACCCAATAATACAAATACGATTCACATCAATTTCTGACGTGCGAGGGCAGTGTATTCTGGACATACCTTGACGTCTGCAGCATCCTCGATGCCGCCTAGATCCTGCATGGACGCACAGTTCCCTTTAGAGTCCAATAGAAAAGCATAAAACTTTGTGTCATTAAAATAACTTATCAGCTTGCCATCATCAGCAAAAGGAAACACCTAAATTGAACAAATAGAATTAGACAACTACCGATGTATTTTGGGCGGCAAACCGCCACGCTACCTCCCACTGATTGGTCAAAAGTATTGACTCGAAAATGAGCGAAGGTGCTCCGCGCGCGACGCTAGGGTCCAATCGAATCCTACATTACAGCTAGAAGTGTGTATTGTGGTTTTTAGGCCACGGATAACAACCACAGCGTAAGAAAATGAAGTAAGAAAATGAGCACATTTACTTGGGATGAGTCAGGGATCGCTCTCGCGCACACTATGAGTTAACAATGGATACCTCCTGGAGAAAAAAGCAAGTAGTCCAAGGCTGGCGCTCCGTTTGGGATGGCTTGCAAAGACATCAGCGGGATTGTAATTAACAAAAAAGAGCAACTATGGATCACTGTGTCCAGTCATCAAAGCTTCCCTCAGCTTCTCCCCCCCCCCGGGCCGAGGAAATCCTGACAAACTATTTCATAAGGAGATGAGTAGCGATATCATTCAGACAGTTTTCAGTACGATTCAAGTGTAAAGAAAAAAGAAAAA